CTTCTCCCAGGGGAAGGAAAGCTTCGCCGTCCTTCCCACTCCAGACCACTCCGGTCCCTAAGGCCAGAGTGTCAGAACCAGGGGCCTCTGGGCACGTCTGCCACTCCCACTGGTTTCCAGAATACAGACTTACAGGTCCTGCACAGGCACAAATGTTCAGATGGAACGTTCCCAGAACAGGAAATGACTGACAGACATTAAGACCAAGACAAACCACAAGACGTCTGTCCTTACCTCCTACTGATCTGAGGAAATGGGTCTGGGGGCGACCGAATCCCGGACAAGTCCCCAAATGTTGGACCCCCAGTCTGGGGTACCCAACGTCCATGGGAGGCCACACCCCAATAACTCAGTCCTCAGACCAGGAGATGCAACAAGCAAGAGGATTTAATCTCGTTTGCGCAAACGGGCTCCTGCCTCACTCGAGAGAGCAGCAGCCCAGAGCTCAGCTTACCGGCTTCTTTTAAAGGCAAAAACCACAAACCAAAACCAGCAGCAGTAGGAGGGGGCCGGTAGCAGTGGCAGCAGTGGGAGGGGGAAGTTTCGGGTAATTTTCAGCTTGGGCACAGAGCATGAAAAGGTCAGCTTTTTCTCAGCAGTTAGATTTTACATCTTACTTCCTTGTACAGCTTCCCAGAATATTCTTTTGATCTGGGGGGACTTGGTTTGATTCCATCATTATCTTTGTCCTATGGTTGCATAAGCAAATGCCCTTGTTTTTAAGAAATACACACTGGGGGCTGAAGAGATGGCTCAGCAGTTAAGAGCAAGGATATATGATCATCTGTGTTTGTAAGTGCCACAGCATGTATGTGGAGGTCAGAAGACAACTTTTGAGAGTCGGTTCTCTCCTTCTACCATGTAGATCCTGGGGACTGAATTCAGGTTTGGTGGCAGGCACCTTTATACTCTGTGCCATCTACTTGGCCTCTCGTGCTTTTTTATATTGAACACACACACACACACACACACACACTGTAAACTTAAAGCTATTTTTAAAGCAAGTCATTGAGTAGAGAGTATGGTCTTTGGGCCAACCACTGGTGTCAGTACCTAGGCATCATAATCAAAACAGTAGATGTCACAAAGTCCTACCCCTAGGTTAGGGGCTATTGGTAACTGATGACTGCTTGGAAAATCAGTTTTCTTCAGAGGTGTGGTCCCTGCAAGACTACCCATGTTCCAATAGATGCCCTATACCCATGCATACTAGTAGCACTAGGTGGAGTCAGCAGATTTTATTTTTAAGTGTAGCAAGTTGTGAGGTAATAGTGGTGGGGAGGACAGGAAAGGAGCTGAAGGGGAATGAATCAGGGGTGGACTTGATCAAAACATATATATGCATGAATGAAATTCTCAAGCAAAAAAACCTAGCAGGTGTGAGAGTTAGAGAGGTAGCTCAGCAGTTAGGAGCACATACTGCTCTTGAAGAGGACCCAAGTTCATTTCCCAGTATACAACCACTTGTAACTCCAGCTCCAGGAGGACCTGGTACCTTTGACCTCTGAGAGCACCTGTACTTATGTGCATATACCTACACAAAGACACATATGTATACACATAATTAAAAATAAAATCTTTTAAAAAACCTCAGCAGGTATATGTACCAGTGGATGAACTCTATGCATCCTTCTGTCTCCCCATCACAGTCCTGTAAGCCAACCAAAGAGACTTCCTTCCCAGAGCATGGGTCACCAATGTAGAGACTGGCTAATGGCACATGGTTCCTGTTTCTTGGAATGAATGCATTTTTCTCATTGTCTGGTTATCGCCTAGCAAAAATGTGTTCTTCCTAGAGCTAGAGAGATGGGTCAGTGGTTAAGTGCATGGGCTGCTCTTGCAAAGGACCATGTTTGGTTTCCAGCACCCATTTGGTGACTAACAACTGCCCATAACTCCAATTCTAGGGAATCCGACTCCCTCTCCTCAACTCACTGAACACTGCACAGATGTGGTGCATTCATATACATGCAGGCAAAACACTCATATTCATAAAACAAAAATAAATAAATTTTAAAAAGAGTACGTTCTTCCTTCCAGTATATCTCACAAACCCTCTTTTGTCTTTGATAAAATTTACCATGTTTTCATTGTATTTTTCGACTTGCCTTTTCCACAAAAGTTTGCACAGACAGAAACAAAGAAAGCTATGTTGAAGCCAAAGAAATGAACACCACGAACAGAGGCTGTCTGCACTTAGGGCCACGAACTTGTGAATTTTCCCACTCTGTTATTTATAGTCTGGTGTCCTGGTAACCCCTCAGAAGCTTCACCATTACAGGCTTTATCTTTTCAGTAGAGTAACAACTGGTACTCACAGGCACTGCTGTGGAAATTAGAGGGAGGAGAACGTCTCCTTTTGGTTGATAACCTGGGGAAAACTCTTCTGGGTGAGAGCTCTCAGGCCTAGGTACACAGTGGGGATTTGTTGTGTAATGGTGTTTATCCCCACATGAAGCCCTTGTGTAAGACTCATGGCTCAAGGGCTGAAGCTAGCTGTGGCTGTGTTTCATTCAGACTCTTCAAAAAAAAAAAAATACTTTAAGGAACCAACCACACTTAAATTTAAATTTAGGAGAGTCAACATTAAAAGACAGATTTTAGGCTTCTCCTTAAAAGATCTATGACAGCTCCTTCCTTCTTCCATGGCAACACTGGGCTGGAGTCAGATAGCAGTGGCTAACTTTGAACTCTGTCATTTCCAGTTGTCACTGATGCGGAGGCTGAGTAGAAAGCTATCATTCCTCAATACTTTATGGTGCTGTTTTCCCCAATTCCAACCTATGTCACTTTGGTGACTGCCTGACCCTGTAGGCTTTTAGGCATGGCGTTCCTGTTGGTGTGATTCTCCTTTGATCAGATGGTGACAGTAGCAAGTTCAAACCTTGAAGATTCTAGGCTTTAAGCCGAAAAATAGAAGTATCATCTCAGAGTCCAGCTGACTGTATCACACACTGTTGGCTCTTCGGGGGTCCAGACTAAGCTCTATCACAATGCAAGAGGGCTGCCTTGCTGAGCTTCCATGTTTGAAATGTCATATTTATGTCTTAGGGTTACAGTAGCTTGGAGGAGTAGAATACTATATTTACCATGTTTGTGTTTAGATTTTGAGGAGTCTAAAGCTTCTAGAAGGGTGCTGATCTTGAGCCATATTTGGAAGTAGGTGAAGAAACATCGGAACTCGATGATACCAGGTAGAGGGTGGGACACAGAAGGAAAAAATTGTGTCTAGCGTCAGGAAGGAGAATGAGCTGCTTTGTTGTCCCTAAAAACTTTTCTAGTTCTTCTCCCTTTCCCCTCACCACATCCCGGTGCTATTTGGGATGACTGTCTTCTAAAAGCTGACAGCAGAAACATTTGCTAAAATCAAAACCATCTGTTCTGACTACTGATGCCAAGTTGTAGGGATGCCCCAAGGAGTGCAAAGCAAAAGTGAACTTACTCTAGAATAGCCAGACCTGACTTGGGTATTTGGTATGTGTATGGGGGGGGGGGGTTGAGGGGCTATGGCAGCCCTTGGCATTCAGTGGACATCCAGAAACTAGGAAGACAGGATGTAAGCGTTCTAGCATGGCAGAGTCTTCTATCAGGCCAGGTCCACTGTGTAAGCTAATGTATCTCTTTGGGGAGGA